GCTGCTGGGCCTGCGCGTCCGGAGCCTGTGCTCCGCAAATGGGAGAGGCCACAGCAGTGAGAGGCCCGCATAACGCAAGAAAAAAAAAAAACAAACCAATGTTTGTCAAATAACATAAGTTTTGGCTAGTATTTATTCTCACTCTCATGGATGTCTTCCAATTACCCATCCTACTTTACCTCACCAGCTTAGAACTCTTCACAGCAGTTCAAACAAAAGTGGCCAGGGGGGCTTCCCTGGTGACTCAGTGGTTAATCTGCCTGCCAATGCAGGGTGGGCACACGGGTTCGGGTTCGAGCCCTGGTCTGGGAAGATCCCACATGCCATGGAGCAACTAAGCCCGTGCGCCACAACTACTGACCCTGCGCTCTAGAGCCTATATGCCGCAACTACTGAGCCTGCGTGCCACAACTACTGAAGCCCATGTGGCTAGAGCCCATGCTCCGCAACAAGAGAAGCCACCGGGATGAGAAGCCCACACACCGCAACGAAGAGTAGCCCCTGCTCGCCACAACTAGAGAAAGCCGGCGCACAGCAACGAAGACCCAACACAGCCAAAAATAAAAAATAAAATTAATAAATAAAATTAATTAGTTAATTAAAAAAAAAAGTGGCCCAAACATCCTGCACCCAATCCAGCCTCACACCTTGTCCCTCCCCATTGGTTCCCCAGGCTCCTGCTACACTATCCTTTCATTCCCAAACCTAGCAAGCCCCCTTCTACCTTAAGACCTCTGTATAAGCTGTGGCTACTGTCTGTTCCCGTCCCTGACCCCTCTGGCTCAGCTAGTTCCTTGTGATTCTTCAGATGTAGATGAAATTTTTTTTTTTTTAAGAGATATCTTGCTCTGACCCAGCCAACTTGTGTGCCTTCCTCATTCATAGCAGATGAGCATTTTGATTTTTTTGTTGTTTAAGACCCATCCCCCATGATCGGACTGTGATTTCAGGAGAGCAAGTGCTGCCGAACAGCCCACTGCCTAGAGCACAGGACGGGGCACTCAGGCGGCGTCTAATAAGTGTTGGTTATTAGTAAACTGGTGCAAAAGAAGGCACGCTGGGGCCCTTTCTCCAAATGAGCAGGCACACAAGCTGATGAGAGTATTTCATTGAACTACTCACATGCCAGCTTCCCATCGAAACTGGACAAGCAGATGGCGAAGGCTTGGAGCGGACAAAGTGGGAAGCGGAAGTCCATGGTGAACGTGTCTGGGGCTACGCGACCGAACTGGAGCACCAGGTAGTCCGCTGAGAAGGAAGTCAGGAACTAAGGGCAGTGGGTGTCATTTCCCTGACGCGGGCCTCTGAGCCGCGAGAACTACGACTCCCGAGAGGCTGTGCGGCGCCCTCACTATGGGCGGAATCCTCCGGAAGTGCAGTTTACATGGCAGAGGGCCTTGTAAACTACACTACCCAATAGGCTTTGCAATAGCGTGGAGTCGGCCCTACCTAGAAAAACGCTCAAGTGCTAATGGGAGAAGTAGTTCTTGTCCTGCTCCCTTGCCCAGGTAAACCAGTTCCTAGGAGCTCACGGTCATCCGGATACACGATCTGGAAGTTCTTGACCGAGGTCCTAGTGACGCGACCATGAAAATTGAGCACGTAGGCGCCGCTCTCGTCGCTCCACGATGGGGCTTTATTTTGCAGCAGGACCAGCCCCTGGTTGGCCCCCCGTTGGAGGCGATTCAATAGCGACTCCTGTTCCTAGAGGGTAAAGTGGGGACGTGGTTAACCAACTACCAACCAGCTTTTTTCCTCCAGACGCAGAATTTTGAGTCCCTAGGCTCTCCTTCCTGAGAAACATAAGTCTGACAAAGTCCTCCCGGCTTCATATATGACCTTATGCAGTCCATCGGCTCCCTCTCCCCTTAGGACCTATGGCCGGTCCCCCAGCCCTTCCTCCCCATTGACCCAGAGACACTCACATTGGCGGACTCACATTTTGTGGCTGGACACTGATTCTCTGGTTCTGGGCGTCGATTCCTGGAATGATCACAGTCATTTTCCGGGGCCCTCGGAATCCCAAGACGTTGGTCTCCTGAGGGTAGTATGCTCCATTTGGCCTGCTTCTTTCTCCCTCCCCACCGTCCTGCTCCACTCTCTCTCGTCTCCCAGACACTCACATAACACACAGCCCCCAGCTCCTCCCTGATCCGAGCAGTCTCTGGGACAAAATTCTTCCTTTCTGGATTCACCCCATTGTCAAAGATGGTGAATTTGGTGCCCAAGACATTAGATCTGCTCCAGGAGGGAAGTGGTGAGAATAAAAATAATAATTATTCCTATTTTACATTAACTGCTTTCCCATGTCATCTCATGAACTCTTCC